TATACCGGCAAAATTTCTGGTAGTGTATCAAGTCAACGATCTGATGCTTGAATTTATTATTACTACTATGGGAAAGGACGCAGGGCTGAATAAATTCTACAAGTTTTCCTTATCACTACATTTCGAAAACAAGGTAAAACAAATATATATAACAGCTAAAAAAGACTGCCAAAGGCCAAAGACTTCAAAATCTTAGTTTCTACATTTACAATGTTTATTTGATAACTTTATCAATCAGGGTACTATATTTGCCCCACAATTCCATGCTTCAAATGCATCTTGATTCTGATTTATGAAATATATCTACTTTGGACATACTAATTTTAGATGCTTATAATGTGAGGCTGCTTCAATATTAATATTTTTATAGATATTGTGATAGGTTCTTATTTTACACAGATAATGTAAATTTTATATCAGCTTAGTATATGTGATTTCCGGCAAACAAAAAGCAATTGGATGCCCAAAAGAACTAACTTCGTGGTAAATATGCTAGCAGAAGAAAATAATTGATATTTTATTATTTGTATTTGTATATACGAATAATGCAGTTATTTGAATTTGACATAGTGCGAGCGCTGATTGATTTCTCTTCCCTTCTACATTTTGGTCTGCTAGCGCTCACTAATATATGAACACTGAAAATGAAAAAGTTGCGGGACATGCCAAGAAAAGAAAAGCTAAAAGTAACGATAATTGTGAAAAATCGAAAAAGCTGAGGCTAGACCAAAATACTAAATTATGCTCCTCATTGGAGGATGATTGGAAGGTAATTTGTCGTAGTGGCTGGTCTTCTTTGCCAAATATTATTCTAAATTTGTCCAAAATAGGCTTCTTTGGGAATTTCATTGGCTGATCGATTGGAAGCCATCGCTTCCAAACGCAACATGACCGTTTCCCAAGTCAAAAGAGTCCTCAAGGGGGTCCTAACTAATGATGATGTTATCCAACTTTTCCGCCAATACATTAACAATGATGTAAATATCGTTGAGCAAGGATCTGGTGAGCCTTCTACATCCATTAAAATGCATGCAAAGTCCTTTGGCGTTCGATCTTCCGACTTATCATCTGCCTTCCCCTTACAATCTAGGATAATGACTCGGTGAGTGGTTTAATTGCTTTCATACCTTGATTTTGAATGCTATTAATATTTTTAATAAAGCATACTATTTCGAATATCCTTTATATCACGTTTTGCCTGATTGATGCAGCTTTGTTATCTCCATCTCTCTGTAACTAATATTTTATTTGATTGTGCTTTGTTATCAATGTTTTTGTTTAGTTACCACAGTGTTAATAATTAACGTTATAAAGTTTTTACACATGCTTTTTATATTCCAAAGCTCTACTGATATTTTTCATTGATAGTTACTTTAAAAAACGTTAATAATTTCCTGTGGTAATTTTGTAGTTCTCTTGCTCGTCGGGTTAAGGAGTCGAATGTTCCCAGACATACCTTATCGACACAGTGTTCTTCGCATTGTCCTCGTGATGCGCAGACAATTTTAGATATGGTATTTTCAGATGATGAAAACGAGGCATGCATTGATTCAAATACTCCTGAAATACACGGAGAAGTATTTAGAAAGCCTACGTATGATGAAGATTATATTCCATCGGAATATGATAGGAGACAACTGCTTAAAGATCTTGCTATTGATTGTGCCTTTGATAGGTCATCAAAGATTAAAGCTAATAAAGTAAAAAGTGCTGGTCACTTGATCAACTTATCAAGAACAGAGGCAGATCTTGATGCCGCTCAAGACTACGTGGATATAAGCCCTTGTACTGAGAATATTTCATCTGACGGTAATTTCTTATTTATCTCGTACTATTATTATATATAGATTTATCCGATATCAATTTAGAGGAATTTCTATTTTGTGATGGCAGAAACTCCAATACAAGTACCTCTCCTTCATCGTACTACACCCGATCAAAAGCCTTTCATAAATCCAACGGTAATGATGACGCTGTTTTTATTGAACAAATTCCTCCCAAATCGTCATGCTCAACGCCTCCTTACCTTTCTCTTAGCGAGTTTTTTGATGATGATCCCCGAGAGGATTTATCCATTCTTTCCCCATCTGAAGTGAAATTTTCTAGATCCGTCGAAATTGCACACATTGGCTTAAATGGAACCTCAGAATGTCCACCAAATCATGCAACTCCTTTGCCTTCAGAAAGCACAAATATTAATGAAGCTCCGAATAATCAGACTATCATTAACGAAGCAGAG